TTTGCCTTAACTTCAGTGCTTGTTAATTTCTATCGGTTTGATTGTGTGCTCCATAACCTATCTTATCTCATGGAGATAAGGTGTCTTGAGACAATGGTTGTAATTCTTTTGCGTGGATCGAAAGTATCTAGCCCTTTTGGGATATGCATGGGGTGTGTCGTAAATTAGCTCTCGTTCCACTTGCATCTGCTGCCCTCGGCTGCAGACTGCCTATTTTAGTCGTTTGTCCCTGGCACCCTTAATCGCACATTATTCACTTGCAGGATAATACAATAAGTAACTAGTCTTTCCCCTTGGTACATACGTCAGGTGTTTCCACACAAAGTTGTCAACTTGGCCTCACTAGGGATGGCTGCTTGAGTAATTGCTGCAGATGCTAGTTAGTAAATGAACGGCCTCAGTTAGCCTCTTTCAACGTCGTTATTCAACTTAACCGACTAAAGTGTCACTTTGCAGCACTATATTTAATATAGGTTGAAAAACATGGCGTTTATTTTACACATAGTAGGTTTCTATACTCGACAGTCTATCCGGTTTACGCAGTGACTACTTCGTAAGTGCCATGGTCAAATTCAAATGTGGTATTAAGTATTTCTTTGGCAGACCTGTGCTGCATTCGACATGATGTAGGTGAAACTGACCCCGGATGCAAAAACATCTCCTCTAGGCAGATGTCACCCAGGAAATAATCGGCACCACTATCGCTAGGGTTGGATACGATTGGGCATTAAACTTCGTTAACGTACACTCAGCAGGAGGCTATGAATGATGATTTGTGGGGGATGTCTTAGATTGACAACTTGCTCTGCGACGTATTGTTGTCATCTCGATCCCTAATATCAAATCTTTCTGAATCTATCAAATAAGTTATTTGACTGTCATGTTTGTTATGATGTCTGCTGTTAGATCTTTACGGGTGTTTTGAACAGGTACCTTATTTACTGTTAATCCCTAGACTTGGAAACCAGTATATTTTGTCGATGTAGTGGTGATGGTACAACTGTTACAGCATTTGACGAAGATGAAATGGACTCCATTAGAGAGAGTCCAAGTAGATGGAGAGTTGGTCCTCGAGAACCTTGCGGCCAACGTTTCACTTTTTTGTAACATTAAGTAAAGCTCTACTTTTAATTTTTGTGTTTAAAACGCGGTCATAAATGAGCCGTGAAAATCCTCTCAAAGTTATTTTGGCAAATTTTCTTCAAATTTAGCCAAGCTAACGCTTAAGGTCTTCGGTTGATTACTACGATGAAGTAGATCTGAACTGTTAGTTATTCGTCACCTCCCGCAGTAAAGTGGGTGAATGTGGCCTCCACGGGGAGCCACGAGTAAAGACAGTGAGGCATGTCACATGTCTACTGCCAGTGCCAGTCGCCTCTCTTTGATGAGGGTCACACTATGTTGCAGCATACTCCTAAGTAAAGCAATTTCCACAAAGCCTTGTCAACGAGGCCTAACACAAGCGCTAGGGCTTTGATTGATTCACCAATAAA